GCCAGGGCGGAGGGGTGCTGGGGGGTGCAGGCTGGAATAGTGGGGGCAGGGCTGCAGGGGCGCTGTAGGGGGGCCAGGCTGGAACAGCAGGGACAGGGCTGCAGGGCCAGGCCTGGGGGGCGCTGTGGGGGGGCCAGGCTGGAACAGCGGGGGCAGGGCTGCAGGGCCAGGCTGAGGGGTCTGTGGGCCCGGTGGGGCAGTGCTGCAATAGCAGGATGCAAGAGGAATGGGTGCCTGGCGCTGCCCTAGGGAAGGACGCTTTTCACAGCACCTGCTTGCTCTGTGCCCAGCCCCCACGGGAGCCCAGACCATCCCCTAATTCCCACGGGACGGGCCCAGTTTGCCCTTGTCCTGCAGCTCAGTGAGGCGTACAACAGGCACAGGGAGGGCAAAGAGACGTTCTACACGGGTGCCAATGCAAGAGGAATGGGTGCCTGGCGCTGCCCTAGGGAAGGACGCTTTTCACAGCACCTGCTTGCTCTGTGCCCAGCCCCCACGGGAGCCCAGACCATCCCCTAATTCCCACGGGACGGGCCCAGTTTGCCCTTGTCCTGCAGCTCAGTGAGGCGTACAACAGGCACAGGGAGGGCAAAGAGACGTTCTACACGGGTGCCAATGGCGGCGCAAGGTGCAGGGCGAGACAGCCTGGGGCTCTTTGGGCCTGACCTGCAATCCAGTCATTGCAGAGCCAGGGGGGAGCTGGGGGGACATTGGGGGGCTGTGGAGGGTGGCTGGAGGATACAGAGAGGTGGGTGGATGGATTGATTGGGAGGGAGGGGTGGGGACAGGAGGATGGATGGAGAGCAGGTGGGGACAGGTGGGTGGGCAGGGGGATGGATGGATGGACGGATGGATGGACAGACGGACGGATGGATGGAGAGCAGGTGGGGACAGGTGGGCGGGAGGTTGGATGGACGGATGAATGGATGGAGAGTGGGTGGGGACAGGTGGGAGGGCAGATGGATGGACGGATGGTTGGATGGACAGATGGATGGATGGAGAGCGGGTTGGGACAGGTGGGCAGGCGGATGAACGGATGGAGGGATGGAGAGTGGATGGATGGAGAGTGGGTGGGGAGAGTGTATGGATGGAGAGCGGTTGGGGACAGGCGGGCTGATGGATGGACGGACGGACGGATGGACAGTGGATGGATGGAGAGCGGGTGGGATGGGCAGGTGCAGCACAAGGCCTCTCACCATGTCGCAGCTGCTGGACAGCAGCAGGTCCTTGACTGTCAGGGTGCAGGAAGCTGCGATCTGCGCAGGAGCAGGCAGGTCCGGACTCTTTGAGAAGAACCCCGGGTTCCACAGGTCTGGGGGGAAGGCCAAGGGGAGAGGTGGAGTCAGTGGGATCGGCGCCATGGGCCAGCTGAGCGATTTCCTCCTCCACACCCCGAGCTCCCTGCAGGACTCCCCCGGCTCAGGCTGCTGGGCCTGGCGCCTCCTGCTTGGCACCCGGGTTCACAGCCGGAACCGGAGCAGAGCAGCGGCTCCTCCCGCGCCCTGGGGAGCCAATCCCCGGGCGACACAGGGCGGGCGACGGAGTGTCGGCCCCGAGCGGGGAGCTCAGTTACTGTCTCTGCTGGCGGAGCCTGGGGCTCGGGGCTCCAGCTACCAGACCCCCAGCTGCCGGGGCTGCGCCTCCCTTTGCCAGGGCTGGCTGAACCCGCGGGACTCACCGCCATCTGCTGGCGACTCAGGGTTTTACTGGCAAGAGCCCAAGACTGGATGAGTTTCTGTGCTCGGGATGGGCAGCTCAGCCCCATGCGCTGGCTGCGTGCACATCCGTCCGGGCCCAGGGAGCCCCACGTTCTGAACCCCGGGCTTCCCCTGAGCCCCCAGCGTGGCCCTTCCTCTGGCAGGTCAATGAAATACTCTGGCTATGTCTACCCTCTCTGCACCCCACGATCCCATCTGAACCCCCTAGCTCTCTGCACCCCACGATCCCATCTGAGCCCCCCAGCTCTCTGCACCCCACGATCCCATCTGAGCCCCCCAGCTCTCTGCACCCCACGATCCCATCTGAGCCCCCCAGCTCTCTGCACCCCACGATCCCATCTGAGCCCCCCAGCTCTCTGCACCCCACGATCCCATCTGAGCCCCCCAGCTCTCTGCACCCCACGATCCCATCTGAGCCCCCCAGCTCTCTGCACCCCACGATCCCATCTGAGCCCCCCAGCTCTCTGCACCCCACGATCCCATCTGAGCCCCCGCCCCCCCCCCGAGGAGCCCCCCGGGCTGCCTGTGGGCACATAGTGCTGGGGACTGTCGAGCTGGTCCGAGTTTGGGTCCTCGGAGATGCCGCTGTCGCTGGCTGCTGGGGACCAGTTCGGGGAGTCGGCGCTGGAGTCCCCGGAGCCCAGGATGGAGCTGAGGAAATCCTCGTTCTCCTGGCCACCGGGCAGCAGCTGGAGAAGAGAGGGCAACGAGACGAATCACCCTCGGAAGGCGGCGGGGGGAGCATGGCATGGCCAGGGCACGACCAGCCTGGGGTAGGGCTATGGCTCCGGGCACTAGAGTAGGGGTGGGGATCCCAATGCACCCAGGTGGGGGCAGGGCTGATGTGCACTCAAAGGGGTGGGGCTCCCAGTGCATCAGGGTGGGGGCGGGGCTGATGTGCACCCCAGGGGGCGGGGCTCCATCCTGGCACTAGTGCACTGCACCCATCTGATTGGTCAGTGACTTGTCGGCCTCCCAGGCAGAGAGGGGTTCCCTGAG